TATTCACTACAACTCGCTCATTCATCTTTGTTAGTAACTTGTTGAATTCATGGCACGAACTTCAATAATCTACTAGAGACTAATGAGTTTATTTATAGATTGTTGTTGAACGTCAGGTTGACTACAATCATTGCTAATTCCCCACATATATTTGTCGGCAAGCTACTACGTTCACCGTATGATTCCTTTCAATGTTCTTAGTGAACTGCTGCATTTATCCACAAGTTGGTTATCACTGATTGGAGGGTCTTCACAGTATTCGTGGTATATTATTGATAACTATTATAAATCATCACCTCTGTTTGTAGTTTGGGATATTGCATGCATTGAAGATCCCCCCATGATGAATCATAGGGGGATTACTGATGTATTGTATTCCACTCATACGTGGCATGCCACATCTGTTAGTGTGTCTTTCAGTGCTTAAGTCATGAGCATATTGCCACACATTCCTACTATCATCCATGGATAGTCCATGGCTATTGCTTAATGTATTTTCTTGCATAATGACTTGTATTAACCACCGGAGGACCACCTTTCAACTTGAATTTGATATTTTATTTATCAAATGTCTCCTCTTGGACATGCCATTGCCCCTACTATAATTTTCTTGTATATGTTTGTGAAATGATGGTTGATGATGTTCCAAGTCTTTGATATTTATCTTCGAGATGAACACTTGTATTGCAGGTTCCTTTCGTTGCTCATAGATTGATTGGCATGAACACTATGAGTTTCACATTGTTCATTTGTGGGAAATTTGTGTCATCATCTACACTTGTATTATTGCATTCTTTTTTTTTTTCATTGATTAGTGCTTACTAGTGCCTTTTGAAGCTTTATTCATTACAAGTGTCATCCTCATTCATTGATATTTATTTGAATGCTTTAGGTCATCACTTGGCCCTTTTTGTATTTTCAATTCTATTATGCATTTGTCAAATTAAGATTTAATTCATTGTTTGTCATTTGATTTTGGTTCCTTGCTATCCGTTGTTGAAGTTCAAATACAGTATGCTGTTAATGTCCAAGTCCTTGTATCTTCAGTCTAAATTTCAGCAGCCTCCTGGTGTCTCCCTCGGTTAGGGGAAAACTACTGAAGTCTAGGCCTTCCCACCACACTAATAAAAGCGTGTATGGTACGTGTCATTAGACACCGCGACCGTGTCTTCATTCCCATTATGCAAATAAAAGTGTGTATGGGGTCGGCCAGGTTACCTATTTGAAAACACAGTTGTTTCCCTGCGTATGGGTACTTATAAGTAATCCTGCATCGTTGTAGGCATCGCACTGGGTTCGCATCCCAAAACGCGTAATAAAACAGTGTATAGGCGGTTTCCGGTGCACCACGAACGCCAAAATGAAGCTTTTGGATCCCCTGCTTCGTTGCTAACACCGCGACTCACTTCCTCCCACCACGTTAACAAAAGCTTGTATAGGTACTTGTTATGTCACGCTGCAAGCGTCGAAGGCGGCTCTCGGAGTTTTGAATTTAGGGAAATTATACTTTCGATGTGGTAGTGGCAACGGGGTCGTACACAAATGGAGGCGAGGGAAATATGTTTAATTCATAATTAATTATAAATTATCCATAATTAATTATATTTAATATATAATTAATTATATTTAATTCATAACTAATTATAAATTAATTATATTTAATTTACAATTAATCATAAACTAATTATAATTAATTATATTAATATATATTTAATTTAAAATTAAATATAAATTGATTAGATTTATTTTATAATTAAGTAAATAAAAATTTATAATTAATTATATTAATCTTAATTTATTATATTTAGTTTAAAACTAATCATAAATTAATTGGATTTAATTTGTGATTAATTAGAAACTAATTGTAATTAATTGTATTTTAATCTATAATTAATTATATTAATTTAAAATTAATTATAAATGAATCATTTTAATTTATAGTTAATCATATTTAATTTTAAATTAATTATAAATAAAAATTTGAGCAAGATTTAAGCCTAATTTTTTTAAATGAAAATTTTAACTCTCCTAAATTGAGAGTTAACTCTCTGTTTCTAGGCGACAAGTCCAAGGGATTTGGCCAAAGAAGCTCGCGATAGGAAGAAAGTCACTTTCACAGCTAGCGGGCTCCCTTCGTTTCTTCCGATCAAAATGTTGTAACTTCCGGTCCGACGGCAAGGGAGCATCGTCGAAGGAGGTGAAGGTTAGGGCGTCTCGGGAAACGACGCCAATAGCGTTATTCGCAGACTGCTATAGGATTTCTACGGTATTTTCGCACAGGTATGCTTTAGAAATTCTTATATATATATATATATATATTTGTTTTCTGTTATAGAGGTCAACAGTGTGATGCATCAATCTCCACTATAAATGGCTATATGAAATCAGGTAGTGCAAATACAGGGGCACTCGTCATGCCTTTTTTCAGCTGCTCAAATTCCTGGGTGACTACCTCCCCTCATTTGAAACTATCCTTTTTCAGTTGCTCTGTCAAAGACCATGCTATAGATTTATATCCCTCACAAACTTCCGGTAATACCCTATGAGTCCTAACTAACCCTCCAACTCCTTCAAGATTTTGGGTAAGGGCCACTCCAACATAGCCTCTATTTTGAAAAGATCTGTAGTTACTCTTTATTTGGACATCACATGTCTCAAATACTCAACCCTCTGTTGTGCGAACAAACACTTATTCATATTGGCATAAAAAAGATACTCCAATGTTATTAACACGACCCTCAAGTGGTTCACATGCTTCGCCTCATTGATTATTCACCAAATGTCATCGAAGAAAACCAATATAAACTTGTGGAGGTAAGGCTGAAATATCTGGTTCATAAGTGACTAGAAGGTAGTTGGGGCATTAGCAAGCCCAAAAGATATTGCCAAAATATTATAGTGGCCTTCATGAGTTCTGAAAGAAGTTTTATTGTTGTCAAGGGCCACTTTCTGATTTGATGGTATCCTTATTTTAGATCAATCTTGAAGAATATCATTGCTCCATATAACTTATCCGACAAGTCATCAATGACCAATATAGGAAACTTATTCAACACTGTTTCCTTATTTAGAGTCCAATAATCTATTCAAAATCACCAACTACAGTCTTTCACAAGCAACACAGGACTAGAGAAAGGACTAACGCTGGGACGAATGATCTGGGCCCTTAACATCTCCCTGATCAGTCTCTCAATTTCATCCTTCTAAATTTATGCATAAGTATTTGGACTATCTCTGGAACTTTCCTCTATCTCTCCATGCTTCTCCCACCTTTAAGGCTCTAGAGCACCACCTGCACCAAGAATCCCATTCCTAGGTGATAAAGAATGTATTCCCCTAGGGGAGTTGAAAGGTTCCTGATCTGCTTTAAAGTTCCTTGGCCCAACATCAAAGAGGTCTTTAAAGAGGTACCAAATAGAAGAATAAGGTGTAGCCCAATTGTGCTTAGTTAGATTTCTGGTTTAGTTAGTTGAACTGGATATACATCAACCCTATGTCTGTACCTTAACCAATTTAATTAAACATTAAATATATAACTTTTTATAACATGTATGAGAAATTCATACATAATGCACTTTTTACTGGACTATGGAACCTGATGTAGTTTTAGAGTAAGCTGAAATTAAAATTTTATTAGTATAACAAATTCATCTTAACAATTTAAGCTCAATACCATAAAATCCAAAGACAGATAAAGCTAAAGCTCGAGCAATATGTATGCTTATTTTTATTTTGTATATAAATCAAAATTGTGGAAGTAAAGGGTAGGATTTCGTAGAAATACTATTTGTCATTTTTTGGATGCGTAAAAAATGGGGTATAAATTTTAAAAGATATTTTAATCATCATTATGAATTTTGGGGTTATACAGCCCTACCTTTTCATTAGTATTCTTAGCCTGAAAAGTACTTAAAATTTAACTTCCTTGCAGAAATGAAATTGATCTTTAATACCAGTGTAATTGTATTTAGCCATTCTTCCTTAAGCCTCTCCCCCTAGAATCATCGTATGACCTGTAAATGTGATTCCCTTATTGTATTTTTTTGAGCATGCCTTCTCTTTTTAAATATTTATTCTCTTAGCATCTTGCATCTTTCAGTTATATTGAAAGGATTTAGATGTTCATTTATGTAATAAGTTAATTTATTTTAGCTTTTTCATATTTGAGACATTATTTAAATTGGTTAAATAGATTAAACCTATAAATATGTTTATTATTTGCTTTATTTTACTTTCTCGTGTTATAATTGTTTGGCCTGTTTATGCTGGCTTCCATGGACCCCATGTCCAACCGTTTGCCAACTGGGAGGATATGCGTGCTTGTGTGTGCATACTCTGAGCTTGTGTAGGGAGCTGGTTTAGAATTGTATGTCGAAACGTTTTTAGTCTGTCTTTTTCTGTTTTGGGAATTGGCAGACTGGTTTGATATCGCCTATTGATCTGGTATAGCTAGGATATTGCACAAATAACTCAATTAAATGATCCCTTCTTATCCAAGCCCAGTATTCATAGCCATCATTTTCGGTTCTGTTTGCAGAGGATGGGGTTTAAATAACAAAAAAACATATGAAAATTCATTTGTTCTCTACTCGAGGTACAAGAACATGTTTTTCTACATTGAATTCATTAAAATGACGTTAAATTTGGATGTATTTCTTGTCAAACAAGAGTCGTGTTCTAGACAATGGGTCTTGAATGAATCAGTGTGCAACTATAATTTTTTTTTTAGTCGATTATCAAACTTCTCCCAAAGGTAAAAAGCAACACTATTGAGTCACGCGCCCAATAATGGTTGCAACAATCTTCCTAACTAGTAAAGCCATTAATCTATATGGATAAAACTTGCTGATAATCCCCAGCATGTCTTCTAGTAAAAAAAGCTCCCTTAGCGTAAATCTTTTTTTTTTTCACACATCTAATTGTTCCTCAAATTTTGCATATACATTTGATCTACTTGATACATTTCTCGTGATTCTTCTCTGTAAATACAATCTTAACAGGAAAGTGCTTGCTTGTGTGATTTGTGGTCGTCTGAAAAGTGCCTTTCAAATAGCATCCCGGAGTGGCAGTGTGGCTGATGTACAGTATGTTGCTCATCAGGTCTGCATATTCCTCTTATGCCTATGCTTGTTTTTCATTCTCCATTCAATGTGCTATTTGTTTTTCTACTCGTTGACCAGAAAAAAATAAGACATGATTCTCACATATGCACAACTGGTCGTGAAAGTTGGGAGAGTAATAGTGAGAAAAAAATATGAGGAATACGTGAATAGGCAAATTGCTCAACATAAAAACATAATTTGTGGTTTGATGAGATTGACTTGCCTACATTTTTGGCCTTATAGAAAAAATATTCCGCTTGAGTTGTATTTCTCAAGGATGTAAAAACCAAACCGGAAAAGAGGAAAGTTCAAGGTTCAATATTTAATGGTTCGATCTGAGTCAAACTAGACTCGAAACGGATGATGGAATAAATAATACAAATATTTACATGATATTTAAATTATAATTTTGGGAAAAAAATAAATAAAATTCATACATAAAAAATATATTCAATAATTTTAAAGTTAAATATAAATAATTATTAATTTATTTTATGTATTTAATTATAAATAATTACTAATTTTAAATTTAAATGTAAATATTTCAAACCTTCAATTTTAATTCATATTTAATAGAAATTTAGTTTATATATAAATATATAAATTTAATATAAATAATTGCTAATTTATGTTACATATTTAGGTATAATTTACGCATATAAATCATATATAAAATTCACATTATAAAATTAGATTTATAAAGTTATACTATATTATTTATTTTAATCTTTTCCTTTTTCACATTATAAATTCACATTATTTATTTTAATTTATAGATTCTTAAGAAAAATATGTTATCTAAATTAATTTAATATTTAATAAAAAAATTTATATTAACTTAAATTAATTAAATATATTATGAATTGATTCGATCGGGTTTTAAAAGCCGAGAGCGGTTCAAAGGTTGGCCGTTTCAATTAGCGGTTCAAATCAGTTCTCATCAATTTGATGTTGAACCAATTTTCATGAGTATCGAACTGGCCATATGTTCACGGTTGAACTTGTCGAACCGGTCGGTTCAGTCGGTTCAGTCAAGTTTTCAAAACCATAATATTTCTTGTTAATAGCAACAATGTTTTCTAGGAAGAATCGCATGCATATCACCTAAATCTAGCACATCCACGCTTACAACCTTTCTAGCATTACCAGAACTTTTGAATTTATTTCATCCAAGAAGATTTTTTAGTTATATTTATTGAGAAAACTTTTTTTCTTTCAGTGTATAAGTATAGAAAAAACTGAGCTCAACAAAATTAACAATCTCTTATTTGGAGATCAAAATTTTGATATGTTGACTTGCTAAAAATTTTATGTTGGTATTGTTTTTGTAAGTGTAATGGTCTGGTTCTCGAATACTTTTACTTTGTGCAACAAATATAATATGATATGATTCAACAAACCTTCGCAAATATGATATTTTTTATGATAGAGTTTTGTTTTGGAATGGAATATTGCAATTTCACTTTAATGTTTGATGCAACCAAAATTTTGGATAAAACTAAGATTGCATACAAATTTGTCTTCCTTTCAAAAATGACAAAATCTAACAACAAAGACAAATAAAAACCATAAAACTTATATTAATTTAGAGAAGAAAGATATAAGTGGGGTGGAAACTTGTGGAGAGAAGAAGGGATTAGAAGACCGAGACGAATTTTAAGAGTAGAAGGAGAAAGAAGACCATAGCTCGCAAGCTATGTAAACCCGCAGGTTTTTACATTCCACAAATTTTCATTTCTAAAATCCTTCTAAAACAGCCACAAAATAGCTCTTAAATAGGGGAAGAAAAGGTAAAAAAGATAATTAATACATGTATTTAATGCACCTCAAAATCAGCCAATAGAATACCCTTGAAAATTGCAGCAAGCAAGGACCGATGGGGCAACTGCCTAGGGAAGAAACTGAAGAATCAAAACAACCCAAAAAATGGGGGAAACCTGAAGCATTAAATGGCTCATAAAGGGGAAACCGAAAAGGTGTCTTTTGGGAATTAATATCGGCATGGGGAACACCAAAATACCTCTTTTGCCTTCATCAATTCTCCCCCGATTGAGAAATCTAAGTTTGCAACGTCGTCATCCTGATATTTTCCAGCGTGTACAAAAGCATTCTCATCAGGAAATGAGATTTCTCAACGGAAGGAGAATTGATGCAACCAAAATTTTGGATAAAACTAAGATTGCATACAAATTTGTCTTCCTTTCAAAAATGACAAAATTTAACAACAAAGACAAATAAAAACCATAAAATTTATATTAATTTAGAGAAGAAAGATACAAGTGGGGTGGAAACTTGCAGTGAGAAGAAGGGATTAGAAGACCGAGACGAATTTTAAGAGGAGAAAGAGAAAGAACATCATAGCTCGCAAGCTATGTAAACCGGCAGGTTTTTACATTCCACAAATTTTCGTTTCTAAAACCCTTCAAAACAGCCACAAAACAGCTCTTATATAGGGGAAGAAAAGGTAAAAAAGATCATTAATATATGTATTTAATACACCTCAAAATCAGCCAATAGAATACCCTTGAAAACTGCAGCAAGCAGGGATCGAAGGGGCAGCTGCCTGGGGAAGAAACCGAAGCATCAAAACAGCCCCAAAAGTGATGGAAAACCGAAGCATTATATGGCTCATAAAGGGGAAACCAAAAATAGGGGTGTCAATTCGGGTCAATGGGTCGGGTTCGGGTCGAACCCGACTTGACTCGCCTGTAAATCTAACAAGACCCAAACATGTCAGGTTTGTCAACTTGGACCCGACCAGTGCGGGTTATTGACACGACCCGACCCGACCCGTGAACATATGCCGAACCGAGCGAATCGGAGGGCGGAACTGTCGAAGGCTGCACGTCTATGCCTGCGGAGCGGAGCCAGTGCAAGTTGGATGCGGGATTCGCCGAGGCGCTGAGTGCGGAGCAAAGGCAGCTGAATCGCGGCTGTGCGGGCTGGACGCCGGCAATGGCGGCCTGTGACAGGCGGTTGTGCGGGCTGGACGTGGGCGACGACAGCCTGTGACGTGCGGCTGTGCGGGCTCACGCGGACGACGCGACCTAAGGCGCGGACAACGAGACCTGACGCAGAAGCGACTTCACCATCTGACGCAAACACGACCTGACGAGCGACCTAAGCAGCGTGTTTGCGAAACGGGTCAATTCGGGTTGACACGTGGGTTGTCGGTTCAACCCGAACTCGACCTGTTTTTCAAACGGGTCTGAAATCCGAACCCGGACCCGACCCGTTTAGCAAAACGGGTTGACCCAAACCCGGATTTTTCTAGGTCGGGTCCGGGTCGGGTTTTGGGTCGGGTCAAAAGTTGACACCCCTAACCAAAAAGGCATCTTTTGGGAATTAAAATCAGCATGGGGAACACCAAAAGGCCTCTTTTGCCTACATCAATGTTTTAACACCATTTATCTTAAAAAAGAATTCGATCATCCTATTCTTTTCTTGACTCTTTTAAAAAAAATTGTAACAAACTTTTTTTCTTATCAGCCTTAACATTTGTAACATGTTATTTATCTATGGTTGTAACTATGTTATCTAGTTGATAGTTGTACTATTGATATTAGGCTTGTTACAACACCTGCTGTGATCCTTCTGCTTTGCAATTCTTGTTTGGTTGTTCTTGTTTTTTCGTATACTATGGTTGTTTTTTTGTCTATTCCAACATGATCAGCACCTATATTTTTGGATTCTTCAGCAACACTAGTGATGGCATCATTGCGATTCAACTGGATATAAGATTATTTTTGTTTTTTTTTTTTTTTTTTTGAAAGAGAAAAGCTAAAGAGCTTTTATTAATAAAGCAAAATCAGTCCAACTCTTTACAAGAATCCGACTCCTTTTCTAACAAAGAGATAAAAGGAGGTATGTTACTTAAAGTAACATCTTCCCAAATAAAAGAGCTAAAGCATGCTAAAGTTAGCACAAAGATCAGCTAACTTATTACTTTCTCTACTAACACAATTAAAAATAACAAAATAAAATTCTTTAATAAAAGAGATGTCGGTTGAGTCATTACCACCATTCTTCACCAGCTCCTTGAAGAAATTTATCACATTCATGTTATCCCCTTCAATAATGAGTCCTTTATAGTCAAGCATCCACTCTTTAATCACTTGTTTGATTGTTAGAATTGCTTGAAGTTCCACAGCAGTAGAATCCCAATGAGTAACAGATTTTCCAAAGGCTAATAAAAACCTTCCAAAGTGGTCTCTAAACACTCCTCCGATACCAGCCTTGTAAGAGTTGTGGTGAGCCGCATCTATATTTACTTTAATCCAATCAGGTGGAGGAGAATGCCAAGAGTTCAGCAACCTAGTAGGTTGATTAGCATCCTCAATACCCGAATTTGTGCAGCTTAAAGCATTAAAAGCTGCCGAGCTACAGATTGCTTCCGTAGCTGTCATCACCGAGCTATACTTTCTTCCTTCATGAACATATAAATTCCTTGCTTTCCATGAATGAAATATGGAATTACAAAATAAACTCTTCATCCAAGAGTTTTGAGAGTCCAACCATAAGAAACAAGTTTCCAAAGAGTTAAAATTTGGAATGCCAAAACCCCATTTATTCAAAACTGTCATTACCTCCTTTATTTTGTTGCATCCAAAAATGATATGATCAATGTTTTCAACTTCCTCACAACCTCTAGGACATTTATCATACCCTTGTAATCTTCTATAGCATAGAAAATGATAAGTTGGTATTGCATTCTTCATCAGTCTCCACCAAAATAACTTGACTCTCTTATTTAACTTAACTTTATTGAATCGAGTCCAGGTGGTATCCTCTGTTTTTACAGATTCTATGGCTTCAGCTGCAAGTGCTGTGATGGTTTTGCCTGAAAGTTTGTGCATAAGCTCAATTCTGTCTTCGCCATTGTGTATCTCAATGGAAGAGATTAGATCAATTAGATCATCCCCAAAGAACTTTTTCAACTTGATAGAGTCCCAATTTCCATCTTTTAAGAAATTTTCCACCGTTAAGCAGCTGCCTTCC